ATTTCAGAAGCTCAATTTTAAATGTTTGGAATTTAGTTGTAAATAACAAAAGATTTATTACAAATCACTTGTAAATTGTGAAATTTTTATAAATGCCAAAAGTTTAATTTATAAGTTATTTGCAACTAATCTTTCAAGATTTACAAAAGTTTTCACAATTTATAATTCTTTTGCAGCTAGTTTTTCAAGATTTGCGATTCAACTTTCATCTTTTACAAGATATGTGTATTCTTACAATGGCATTTTCAGCTATTTAATTACTTCGTTTTTAAATCTGGACCCTTCTTGTAATGTTAAAAATTTTAGTCCTCTAAAATGATTATTTTTCTTTTATGGTCTCTATGTGTCATACTCCCTTTATGATTTAAGTTTTTTTTTTTTTAACAGAAAACACAAAAGAACAAAGATGGAAATCTTACAAAACCTGCAATTTTTTTAAAAGCCCATATCTCTGTAGTATTTAATCTTGTTTTCTACCTCAACCTCCATTACAGGCGTACGCATTACAATCAAAGCTCTATAGAAAAAATGATCGACTACGAGAGCCAGAAGCTACATACTAAATTGTCCACATTTCTGAAATTCATGGTCTTTGTAAGTATTTCATCATCTCTCAAAGATCAAAGATTTCTGTAAAGAGAACAATTCTTGTAGTTTTCACCAAAAATAAAAAGTGACTCAAGTTTGTCTAATTTTTGTTCATTCTTCTGAATTAAAATTTGGTGAAGTTATTAGTACGTGGCAGTAGTTGTATTGTTTATTGCTATTATTCAGTTAGACCGACTTTTACTATTTAGTTGGGAAAGGCTCACCCATTGTTTTTTATATCTTGAAAAAGATATTTACTACTGTCTACAAGACGTATTCCTTATACTTAATTACCAGCAAATACTTTTACTATTAACTTTATACATATATATATATATATATATATTTACCAGTAGATCAAGTTCCACAACTTCAACTTGATGCTCTTACATACTCTTGGTTGAAGTTGCCTTTATGTAAAATCAATATATATATATATATATTTACCAGTAGATCAAGTTCCACAACTTCAACTTGATGCTCTTACATACTCTTGGTTGAAGTTGCCTTTATGTAAAATCAATGAAGTATATATATATATATATATATATAAGCGTGTCCACAACCCTATACTTATAAATTTTTATTTTTGATAATAAAAAAATGAAAATCCCCATTTAGATTCAATTTGTACGCTCCTATAGTGAAAACCCTACTTTTCAAGAAAATTTTAACAAACCAAATTTAGATTCTTTTGTGTTTTTGTACGGCATGATACTCTCCCCTATTTTTAATTGTGAATATTGAATATATATTCAATATCCTATTTAAAATAATCCTCGAATATTAATATTTTATATTAGTCTAAGTCAAATTAGTATGTTTTGAAAATTTTTAAAATAACTCCAGAATACATAGAGAATCTTAATTTTGTGGGTGGAGTTAGATAAAAGACAAGAATTATTTTATAAATTTATCTTTGATGTATTTATCATTGTAAATTTAAATTTCTATTTAATTTTTATATTGTTTAATTTTGTGTTAATATTTAAAAAGTTATTATATCTTACGTATCAAACCACATTTAATTCACACGTGTATCGGTTCTCCTGAAATCCACATTCTGTTAATAACATATAATTAATTAATTTCATTAGAGGTTAAGGACGCAGGATGACAACTGTATAGTTGAAAAGAGATAAATATAATAACAAGTTTCACCCAACTATAATTATTATTTTTTTCTGGCCAACAACTCTGATTGGTATATCAATATGTATATCTCTCAACAGCTGGACCCTTTCAATTGCATACATCTCTCTCATTTATTCACTAATGTCCAAATGTATCTTGCCACTATTTTCCAAGTGTTCATTCCATCTTACACATAGCTTAAAGACCCCAAAAAAAAAGGAACTTTACTAAACGGCATATTTTATATTAATTGACATTGATATTTATATTAACAATGGGCCGGAATTAGAATTCTTTTATCTATGGCATATATGTAAAATATATAAACATAAATACATATGTCACAATTTTATTGGGCTAAAGTGTAGCTTAGGTGCTCTAATTTTATAAACTATCTTTTCACCCTTCTAACCTTAACATCATTAGTTTCTAATGATTATTTTTTGCGTCTCATTCATTATTGTTTTTAAAAATTAAACATAATATATTAACATATGAAATTGTTTTGTCAATACCTTAAAGTTTGATTAAGGAATTTTTTATTGCTGAAACTAATAATGTTAGGATTAAAGGATTTCAAAATGAAACCATATGTAAAGTTAAATAACTAAAAGTATAGTATAGCTATTTTATTATCATTTTTTATTTTTTATAATTTTAAAATACTTTTATCTGTTATATTTGGGGGAATTGAACTTGCACAACTGGTGAATCAAAATTATTCGAAAGTTCATGTGCGTGAGTGTGATCTTGGTACTCGTTACTCGTAATAGAATTTCATTTCACGTGAACAGAGAACAATATCCCATGTCAAAAAATCTCCAGCTCAAGTTGAAGCAACACATCAGAATCAATCAGCTGGAGAAACGCCGGTTTCTGTAAGTTAATTGATTGATTCCTTATTCAAATTTTTCAAATGATAAAATCATATCATAAAGTCATTTTCTTCTTCTTTAAAGGCTGGACTTAGGAGACGAATAGTTACAAGGAGCCATGGGACTGGAAATATCTTATTTTCCTTCGAAATCACTGAAGATATCACCAACAAGATAGACATGGACAAGGTATACCTTCTATATTACAATTGTTTAAATTATTTGCATCTATGTACATATTAATTTGTCAATTTCTTAAACTAAATATTAAGATCAGCAGTAGAGCTAAAAGTTTTGAAATAAATTAATTTTATAACTTTGCAGTTACCCCATTTGGAGTCAGAGACCAACCTACCAAAGCGTCAATTCTCATTCAAGGAGAGACTTGAAGGATGGAATGTTGAGCGCCGACAACGTGAAACTGGAAGATGCGATGTGGTACTTATTTACTAATGGCAATTAAATCATTATTTCACTTAGCCCTTCGACATCATTTGATTTCCCAAAAAGGAAAAAAAAAAGTTTAGACTAAGCTAACATGCTTTGAAGAGATTACCATGCATATATATCTTTTGTTTGCTTGTTAAGAGAAAAAAGTATCACATCTAGTAGTAGATTAAGAATATATAAAGTTTGTAATATGTCTAACAAAATAGTGAATTTTGGATGCAGTATTATCGGCATAAAAATTCGAGGCGGGTGTTTCGATCGATTTATGAGATCGTCAACTTCCTCATGTACGAGAGTTGCCAGAAAAGCAGAAAGAGAAAGTCACCTTCGTCATCGAAGAGGCCAACAGAAGAAGATGAGGATGGTGGTGAGGAAGAAATGATATGGGAAATTGATAAGGAGGACAATGTTGAGTTCTATAAGAAGCTTGAGGATGAAGCAGCTGAGGATCTGATCTCCATGTGTGATAATGATGATGATGATGGAGATGAAGAAGATGATGATGGCACTGCAAATAAGAAGGAGGACGAGCCTTCTCTTGTTGCAGATGTTGCTGCTTCTCCTCCTCCTCCTCCTACTGTTACTGTTGATGTCGATGATGCAATAGTTGATCTGATCAATCACATCCCGATTTGCAAAAGCATGGAGGAAGTCCAAGAGTTTCTGATTAATAACAGAAAGGCTATGCAAGCATAAATCGTCATACATATAACATATGTTTCTCTTCCTGTCAGTACTTGTTTTCTTATCACTGCTAGATAATGTTGAGACATTGCTATGTGTGTTCTATATTTTCTTTAAAGATAATGTGGGTCTTGTGCATACTGAATAATGTGTTTCTTGAAAGTTTTTTCAGTTTACATTGATATATTTGATTTGATATGAATGATTTATAAATTACAACCATGTCATCCAATCCATCTGTTAGTCAAGAACAGGCTTGACTACATATCAATTAATATTTGGACTCATCATAAATAATGTGGTTTTGATAAAATGATGCATATCATCTAAAATTAATGTCATCAGTTGACACGTTCAATATGTGGGAATGAAATGTGTTTAGGGGCCTAGTCTCGCCCAGGCCCAACCCAATATAATGCATATCCTGAAAAATTTATTATGGGTTAAATTTAAGAAAAATTACAATACAGTTTCAAGTTAGTTAAAGCAGTCAAAGGGTATCAGAGTAATTTTATACTTTTTTAAAAATCAATTGACAGCGAAGGAAACACTTGACAGTTTTTAGTAGAATTGTAAAATATCTAGATAAAACACGTTACGGTTTTTTTTAAAAAAAAAAAAGTCAAATAGCCTCTATGATTGTTTAAATCTTTCCTTAATCCTTATTTTTATCCAAACACAAATATTTGAATTTTGAGTTGAAGCAACTGAGCAAAAGGCAAGGGAACTATGCAGCCTTTTAGTTTTCCTCAAATTTCAAAAAATAAAACATAGAAACAAGTTCACCAAGCTAACTTGTGACCCAATCCTTTTTTTTTTCAAGGCTTATTATTAGAATTGGGCCCAAAAATCCTTTTGTACTTCAATTTTCTAATTTTAAAGGCCTGGACCTACATTAAATGCACCCAACCAACATTCCTGGATATAATTTGTTGGGAGTTATGCCTCCAAATGGAAGAGATATGTTAACCTAGTGTCTTTAAACTCAAATCCTTTCTGACAAACTTGCCATAAGTGCTATTGTTGGATGTTAGATAAGCCAAATCACCACACTTATTTGCCTCGAAAGATAGCACTTTGCTTCTTTTCAGTTAATTGTAGTGACGAGATAATAATTACCATCCAAATGACAAACAAATTAAGGAGTTTCACTCTGCAACTTTTACAGTTTAAAACCATGTCTGAATTTCTTAAATTCTTCAATGATAAATAAATAATAGAGATGTAACAGCAAATCAAACTCTCGATATCAAACTGCAATGATAGATATATATGAATATATGAGTCATAAATAGTTGAGTCTGATAAAAACTAACTATAAGGTAACAGAAGACATGTTGGTAGATGTAATAGCAGTGTGTATGGATTCCAAGTTACAGAAAAGGAAGAACCAGCGATTCTTTCCACGAATTTTCTTCTGGTCAAGAATGCAGACAGAAGCTTCGTTTCTGTGGTGCTTCTCTTTCAAATGCTCCATGTCACACCATATTTCTTCTTTTATGTCCTCAAATTGCTTCTCAGCTTCCTTAATTTCGGCCTCAAGTGTCTGCTTTTTTTCCTTCCTCTTCTCCATTAACTCACAGACAGCCTATTTGAAGTAAACAACATGCAAATGTTAATGACTATGGAAAATGACATTTAAAGACCTTACAAGAATATTAATTAAAATTAAGAACCCTAAAATTATGAAATTTGAGAAAAGGATCATGATCCTTCACTTGAATTAAATTTTTTCCGATCAAATTTTGTCAGCACTCATCTTACTTATTTTTAGTACTCAACTTTAGTATTTTAAGTACTCAGTTTTTCAATTTTTCAGCGGTCATTTTAAATATTTTCAATACTAATCTTTCACGCTTTTTGGTATTGAAAACTTATATTTAATTCTTTTTAATTTCTGAAATCATAAAAAATGAGTATTAAAAACATTTAACATGACTAATAAATAAAATAAAAAACTGAATGTTAAAAATGCTAAAAATGAGTGCTTAATGTAAATGATGAGCACTAAAAATATAAAAGATGAGTGCTGAAAAAATTTGATAAAAACAATATTAATTCATGTTAAGTGCCATGGTCCTTTTTTGAAATTTTAAAAATTTCAGGGTAATTAATTATAATTAATGTTCTTAGACGGTTAACCTTTTTTCCCCATACATTTAACTAATCCTAAGATATGTTACTATTCATTGAAAGGATCTTATAATTATCCAAATTTTGATAGGGTCGTTATTCTGTTCTTACATGTCTGTTCGCATCTTCTGATGGAGCTCTCCTAGCATTAGCCATGTCGCCTAGCTTCAGATTCAATTTTCTCAGCTTGTACTTCAGATCTTGCAACCTTCCAATCACTCGTTCCCGTTCCAACTACACACAAATCACTAATCATGAATCAGATTCTAGAGATTAGTATTTCAGTAACATCTTAATCGACATTCAGTGGACATTGGATAATCAAAACATCATGAAATATCAGAGATATCAATCAATGTAGCCCATTAAAGAATCTAGCATTTGAATGATCATAATAACTCAAGTTGAAGACATACAGATTACAGAAAGAAAATCATCAGACATATCATTGCAAGAGTCTTTATGCATACCACTTTTTCTCTGATCTTTTCAGATATCTGAAGATGTTGTTGGTCTTTTTTCTCAAACATCTTGATAGCCTCTTTAATTAAGTTCTGGGGCTTTGCATCCTCTGGCCAAATTGTTGCGAAACAAAATGGAAGCAGAACGTCAAGATCTTTACGCCTCTGTTAATTCTCAGCTTCTTCATCACTTTGAGATCTTGATGTGTTTTTCTGCAATAAATCGATTTCTGATTAGTCCATATAGCTCACTAGCTGATCTGTCATGTCCCAGATTATTGATGTGCTTTAGTTTTTCTGTAAAAGCGTTCAACGAGAAAATGAGAAGAAGAAAAACGCTTACCTTCTCAGTTGCGGATCTTGAATTGTGTTATCATTGTCACTCAATGTTCTGAATTTTTATATGCATTTCATGAGATGCTAACTGTCCAACTCAAGTCAACGCCTTGCACCTCAAGCCAAGGAAGTCGGATCAAAAAGATGAACCAGATCAATATTTAAATTTCAAAATATAGATAATTATTAAAATAACTATTTGTTCACTTAAAATATAATACGCAGCTAACTTCAATATTTATGAACTATGTTTTTTGTCTCGGCGAACAAGTACTGATGAAGACTTGTTTGTGTCTAATAACAACAACAACAACTGATATAAGCTATTCAAAACTTTCTGCATTTTATGATCTGAAGTGAATTTAATATCAGAGAATTGAACTTTACGTAGCGCACGAGTCCTTTGAATTAATAATTCTTTTTATTTGACCTTCACACATCTTTATTATGCCAATCCCTTTCCTTGAACAACTTGATTGCCTCTATGGGACCAACATTTGCTTACATATTATATATCAATCAAAAAAAGAAAAGAAAAGAAAAGAAATCACAAGCAATTGATGTTGTTGCTCAATATCCAATTTCTGCAGCTTCCTGTCCACCTTGAAGAAGACTTGTCCATATAGATCATACAACTGTGCACAGATTCCAAGTTACGATATTGGAGGACCCAACATTCCTCATCATAAATTCTTCTCTGGTCAAGTATGCAGAAATATGCCTCCTTTCTGTGTCTCTGCTTCACCAAACACCTTATCCCTTGTTTTATTGCTCCTGATTTTTTGTCAGCTTTCTTCATTTTGGTTTCAAGTGCCTTCTTTTCCTTCCTCATCTCCATTAACTCATCACATACACCCTATTATTATTATTACAGGTAATCAAGTTCAACACTGAATATGTGGCATTCAGATATAAGTAAACTTGTTAGTTGTACCTTTAATGTCTTTCTGATGCTTTGTTTTGAGATCTTAGTGCAGTTTCTTTCTGCTTCGGTGGAGTTTTTCGTTTCTTCATTGTAAGTTTGAAAGGGTAATATAGCAGCAACTTCTCTCGGCTGTCGATATGTCATGTCTCTTAAGAGCTTGTTTTCTTCACATAACTTTTTGGTCTTGTGAAGCATCAAGAAATTAAGCTTCTGAAGCATGACAAACCAGAAAGCTAGGGTCGTCAGAAATGAAGAAACAAGTCCATGAGTGAAAGGATCTGATGATATATAAACATGATATTAATCGAGAGTTTTCTGGTCTTACATGGATATCAACACCTTGTTCTGTTGTGCATGCAGATTTAGTAGTTCTCCACTTGCGTGTTTCATCAGCAGAACAAAAATTGTGTAGCTTCGGCTTCAAGTTTTCCAGCATGCTCTCCTGAAATTGAATTTTCTCCAGAACTCCATGATGGTAGCAGTTCAGTTCATCCAATCTTGAAACCTCTTGTTCCCATTCAAACTATAGAGAGAAAAATTCATGAGATTGAGCTTCTTGAATATTAGTAACTCTTTTTCCGCCATGAAGCAATGTTTAGAGCTGAAAAAGAAACACAGGAAAACAAATGAAGAAAATCTTATAGCATGAGTCGTTTTACCTACCAATTTTCTTTTCATCTTTTGAGATGTCTGAAAATGTGGTTGATCCATTTGCTCAAACAGCATGACTGCATCTTTGATTCTGGATTTGGGAGCTACATCATTTGGCCAAATCTTGACAAAATAAAATGGTAGCATACCCAGATCTGATAGGTTGTTCTGCATCACTCTGTAATGAGCCCAAAAAATCATGTTGAAGTGTGCATCCATTTTGATCAGACCATCAATGACTTCAACTTAGAGAAGAACGTACTTACCTCAATTGTTAGGATTGCCTCTTCTCAGAGTCTTCGAAGAAATGAGAGAATTGTTTAGATATCAAATTATGTTGTTATTACTGCGCGCTCGCGCACACGTATATTTATATATTGATTCTTAGGTTAACATAGGCATTCCCATTGATTTTGCTTGTATTGCAGTCAACGCAACTCTCTTGCACCCCACGCCAAGGAAGTCAAAAGAAAAAGTATTATGAAAAAAAAATATATTAATCATTTGATCTTTGTAATAACTCAATTTCTGAATTTTGAATAGTTATAATTCAGTTATTATAATTTAAATTTGATTAAAACTCAATTCCTGAACTTTAATCTTCGCAAACCCAATCCTTATAAAGTTAACCATTTAAAATATTAATTCCTATATTTTGAAAAGTAATATTATAAAGATTAAAATTGTATTAAAATTTAGGACTAATATTTTAAAGGATAAACATAACTTTTGGTTCCTGTACTTTACTTGCATTTTGCTTTTATTCCTTATACTTTTTTTTCGGTGTTTTAAGTCCCTACACTTTTATTTTTATTATTTTGGATCCTTTTAAGGTCCCTATACTTTACTCATAAAGGAACCGAAAATAATGAAAAATAAAAGTATAAAGACCTAAAATACCAAAAAAAATATAGGGATTAAAAGGAAAAAACAAGTAAAGTATAGAGATCAAAAGTTATGTTACCCTATTTTAAATTATTAAACCTTTTTAATCTTTATAAAGATTAAAATTTTAAAATAGTTTTAATTTTATAATTTTATTTTTAAAAATATAGGGACTAATATTTTAAATAATTAAAACTATAGGAACTGAGTTGTAAGAATAAAAATTCAAGGACTAAGTTATAATTAAATTAAAATTATAAGGGTCAAGTTAGCGAATTAAAATTTAAGAATTAAGTTATAATTACAAGAATATAATGATTAGTTTTTTCAAAAAATAAAAGGTCAGTTTTTTTTTAGTTTTTTTTAAAAAGAAACGATTATTAAACAAAAACCGCTGTACACAAACAATCACGATAAGTCAATGCTATAATAATACGAATGAATCAATCACACTCCCTCCGGTAATCTAACCTGGCTAGTAATATATTTTTAAATGGGAAAAATATCATCTAGGACTTCTAGAGAGTGTTTTTATACCAAAGAAGGATTTTAAAAATATAAACTTTGACTGCAATCTTTTAGTACCTATTTAAAAGTAAGATTTTATGGAAAAAAAAAGATCTAATTAACCCTAAAGTTTAATAATTTAATAGGTTGTTAATTACATATAATTAATTATCAAAATTTGAATAGATGCTTGCGAAACCAACACTTGAACAATTAAATCTATACTATCAGTTTTTACAATTTATTCATTTTCAAATAAATTGTTATTAATTATGTATGATTACTTATTAAAATCCAAATAAATACTTATACATCTACAAAATCTTAGGGGTAATTAGGTCTTTTCTCACAAAATTTTATTTTAAGATAGGTAATTGGGGTACATTGAAATTTCAGGCTTTTATTCTTTGATATAAGAACTCTTCAGGAATTTTTAGATGATATTTTTCCTTTTAAAATTTTGGCTAGCTATATTTGTTTGAATCAAACTAGAATCAAGTATAGCATAACAAATATTGATTTTTTTAATAAAAAGGAGATATAACAATTAAATAGGTAATTAGTGTGTGATCAAAGAATGAATGATAGCTTAGCTGGAGGAAGATGTGAAGGGGCTGGGGATGAAGGCAAATTCAATTGGTCAAACTAGCTGGTCCAGTCCAGTTTCTCAACACTAATTATTTGTGTGTCTGTAATGTATATGAATATGATAAAATGTTTATAAAATTTATTTAAATACTGGAAAAATAAAACTAATAAAAAATAATAAATCAAAATAAAACTAAAGTACATATACGCATGATATATAAATATATATGATAATGTCAGGGGAAAAAAATAAAAATATATATATAATGAAAAATTAGAAATTGACAAGCTTGTCCTTGGACTCCTATTTGTTTTTCGTTTGTATCTTGTACTATTGAATCATCAAAAATCTCACCCAAGGGCCTAATTTTTTTTTGCAGCCCAAATGAATTTCATGTGCCAAATTAATTTTTTTTTCAAAAATATCATTATTTATATTTTTACTCTAAAAATTTTCAAAATTACAAATTAAGTCCAATAAATTCAAATGATACTCAAAATGTTCAAAATATTCAAGACAAGTTTAAAAAACCAAGAATAAAGAGAACAACAATTATGTAAATAATATGATTTATTAATCCATAATGTCATGATATTGAGAGGTGGCGAGGGGATGCACAAGGACTACCCACATGGAGTTTTTGCCTCACAGACATATCGTAGACACCTGTTCTGATGCTTTGGTGCTTTTCCTGTGTCACATACCTATGTGATGTTATGATCAATTTCAGTGAACTGGACTGGACAAATTAAAGATCATGGTATGTACACTCAGAAGCTATCATTTGCGGTGGAAGATTCAAAGTGAAGTCTAATTAATATTATATTTTGTTTATAATTTTTAAATATATGTGTTGTGTTGATTAGTTTGTAGTTTTACCCATTCTTTTATGTAGGAGGAAAAGAATAAGGTGTGTTCTGCTAGAGGATTTCGCTGAGAAGGCATGGACTGAGTATCAGAAGTGCCTGAAGATGCATACAGGTTATATTATACTCAGAATGACCATTAGTATTTTTATTCATTCTCTTTACTGATCTATCAATATGTTTTCCTGTTGAGCTACGTTGAGTTTGAAGGGGATGTCACAATTGGACTGGGCTTCTTTCTATTTCCTCACCAATTCTCATCTCAACTCTTTGATCAATTCTTGAATGATTAGGATTCAATGTTTTATAAAATTATTTTTTTATTTTTTAATTACAATCCTGAATCTTGAATTGTAATTTAGATCAAAATTTTTATATTTTAATTTTATTTATTTTCATAATTTTTCATTTTAAGAATTGATCCTAAGGTTAAGATGAAAAATGAAATGAAGAGAAGCCAAGTTGATTACAATCGATCATTAATTATCTTTTAGAAACTATATTATGAGATTTTAAAAAATTAGATTAATTATTGAACTGTATAAAATGCTGATTCAAGGATTGATAGTATAATCATGATTGAACTGTGATCAATCAATAATGATTAATATATTTTTAATTTTAGATGTTAAATTTTATATAATATTATCAGGTTCATTAAACAAATAAAATTAAAAAGCAAGAAGAGCGTAAATATTACTCTCTATTAGGATGTGTTTGATTCGAGGGGAGGGGAGAGGTTTTAATAAATTTTTGTTTGGTTTAAGAGGGGAGGGGAGGAAAATAAAAAATAAGTTAACAATTTTATTTCTATCAAATTTAACATGATTTTTATGTTTTTGCTTTAAAAAAAACTGTTACATTATAATTTATTAAGTTTTTATTTTAAGAATATGAACTTATACTAATAAAAAGAATTGAAGAACAAATACATTAATATTATATTTTATTAGTGAGTCAAATAAAAAATATTAAAATTTTATACATTAAAAAATTATATATTAATTTTTGTAAGGTGATAAAATTTATTTAATTATAAGAAAGAAAGAAAGAAAGATAATATGTCACGCCCCAAAAATAAAGGGTGACCGGCATGCGTGCAAACTACATCGCACATTCCTGTAAGCCTTAAAATGAAAATTCATTCTATTTTCAAAAAAATAATCAGATTATATGGAAATTTTAAAACTTTTGTTATTAATTGTCATAACAAAGTTCCAACATTTTTGTAAAAATTTTGACAGAACCTCCCTTGTAAATAGGATCTCCTGAAAATTTTACAAAACAAAAATTTTCCTAGGTATTGTATCAATCAGGAGCTCAGCTCCTTCCAGCCAACAGACAACATATATATATATATATATATATTAAAATAAAATTCTAACTATAGTTTATGTGGAGCAACTAATCTTACTTCTAAGCTAAAATACATGAGTCTCAAATATTTACATCAAGAGGTAACAATACCAAATAAAATTGCCATCCAATATAGCCATATGCCCTTCAAAGGTTAGCAATAGAATCAGCATCAACTAATGAAGTTGAGATCAAAATAATTTTTTAGTGAATAACGTCTCAACAATAAATAATTGAACATAAATAAAAATAAAGTTGAAATAATTATGCAATTTAAAGAGGTAACGATCTTTATAACAATTTAGTAAACTTTTGAAATAAAATAATTCTATAAAATTTTAAATAAAAATCTCGAACCATTAAAATATTGTATTAAATAATATTATCACTTGATTGCAAAAAAGAAAATAAACAAAATAAATAATTATAAATAATTTATTATTTAAAACTAATAGGATGTAAAATTTCCAAACAATCAAATTCATATAATTGGGACTTACTAGAACAATAAATAAATGTGGACACATAGTTCACGAGAATAAATAACCAAACACGGCTTATGCCACGAAAACAAATGTGGACACACAATGTACAAGGATAAGTAACCAAACGTGGCTGAAGTCACGAAACAAATGTGAATACACAGTTCACGAGGATAATGTTAACCAAACACGGCTTGAAGCCACAAAACAAACATAGGGTTAGCACCTCCTATAAACACCCTGCTAGCTAGGTGTACCATGGCTCATCAAGGGCTAACAAAACTACCGTTAGCAACCAGTGTTCTGTATAAAGTCCCTTTTTAAAATCATTTTCAAACATGCGAGAAAATTATCACTTTTAAGATACAGTTCTTATTCTCAAAATTAAACTCACATGAATACTTTTAAGCATTAAAACTTACCAGAATAAAATTTCATATCTAATGCTCATGGTTGCATTTATTGAATAATCAAAAAAAAAATTTAAAGTCGAACTTGCATGAATCATTCTCTATATCAATCCAATATTTGATAAAATAAAAATCTCATAATCAAAGTTCAAACTTGATTTAATTGATCAAATAACATTTCAAATTTGGTAAAGCTAATCTCTCAAAATAAAGTAATGTTAATCAACAAATATCTAATAATCGCGTTAATG